CACCAAGATCTCTCGTGACTCCGGTAAATCCGTTCCATATATAGAAATTTGTTGATAGTCAAATAGAATCAATAGTGAAAAAATGTACTAACAGTAATTAGACAGAAATTATTTAAAGTGGGTGCAAACATATTGTGGATAAATAATTGTACAACTTTTTAATTTAAACTTAGCGCGAAAACCCAATCGTTGTATGTAAAACGCATTTTGCGATTTTTACGATGAGCGAAATTATTAAACAAAAAAACAAAAAGCGTTAATTTCGGTTGCACCGAAGCTAAATACCCTTCCCAGAAGCTATATGCTATAGTGATCCGATCTGAACAATTCGGATTTTATCGAAAATTATATTGTTACCTTAAGCAGTAATCCATGCCAAATTTCGTAACGATACGACGTCAAATGCGAAATTTTTCCATGCAAGCCCTTGATTCCGATCGTTCGGTTTGTATGGCAGCTATACGCTATAGTGAGCCGATCTGAACAATTTCTTCGGAGATTACATTGTTATCTTAGAAAATAATCTATATCAAATTTCGTGAATATATCCTGTTAAATGTGAAAGTTTTCCATTAAAGAACTTGATTCCGATCGTTCAGTTTGTATGGCAGCTATATGTTATAGTAGTCTGATATCGGCAGTTCCGACAAATGAGCAGCTCCTTGAGGAAAAAATGACGTGTACAAAATTTCAAAACAATATCTTAAAAATTGAGAGATTAGTTCGTATATATACAGACAGACAGACGGACATGGCTAAATCGACTCAGTTCAACATACTGATCATTTATATATACTTTGTAAGGTTTCCGACGCTTCCCTCTGGGTGTTACAAACTTCGTGACAAACTTAATAGACCCTGTTCAGGGTATACAAAAATTCCATTGATTGTGCTGTGTGCTGAATCAAATTTCTGCAGCTGAAACTTTCATAATGTTGGTAAAGGCCTTTGTTGATAATTGTTTGTCGGGAGCAAGTGTTATTGATTGGAGTAAATTATTCAAAAAGAGTCGAGAACGCGTTGACGACGAACCACGTTCAGGAGGGATGTCAACATCAACTGAAGAAAAGATGTCAAAAATGTAAAGAAATGTACTTGAGAATCGACGATTAAAAGTCGGAGATCTTACTGGCGTCGTTGAAATATCGGAAGCGTCAGTGAAAACCTTTTTAAAATTGGTTAGATTGGTTCCAAAATAACTAAATTTTTATGAAAATTAGCGTCGCGTTAATATCTGTAAAACAATGCTTTCCAACTACCAGAATGTCATGAAATGTATTTTTCTTAACGACGAGTCTTGGATCTGCGTTTACGATCTAAAAAAAGATGATCAGTTAGCCTAATATCGGGGCGGGCCGAAACCGAAAAAAAAATCAAAGCGGGTCAAAATTCAAGGTTATGTTGACAGTTTTCGAAATTAATGCTCCGGGAACTTCTTATCCGTTTGAGTAAGTTTGAGTAAGTTTGCTTAAGGTAACATTTAGAATTTACTTTCATACTTTAAAATATGCTTTGAGGGTTGTGTAAGATATGTTTTTGCGGAAAGATAGAGCCTAAAAAGTAGTTATTGACTTATATTTTAAGAGGAGGGTCACAGAATTTGCTTTGAATTGCATTAAAGCGGATATATAAATATTCTTTTGAAGTCTTATAACTTTAACAGAATGCAACGTTAATCCTGATAAGCTGTGTACTTTATAGGTATCAGATCAAAATCCATAGGTGAAAGTCAACAGCTGAATGGCATTTTAATAATATTTGTAAATTGTTTGAATAAAAATTAATGGTATGCAAACTTTACCTTTATTAAACCCACAGTTGGTACAAAATCACCATTTACTAAATAAAAATTTAAGTAAGTTATTTTTAAAACTGCTTCAGAATATTAAATTGGTGAATGAAATGAATATATAATATACTGGAAACTAGTAATGTCTTCAGAGGTATGGAAAGACGGGTCTGGAAATTTGTAAGTTTAGTATATCGTACATGCCATTAATAAAAAGACCGTAATGTTTTGTTCAATACATCAGGAAGAAATCTATTTGTTGAGTTAGTAATATTGAAAWTTGAATTTTCTAAAGGCTAGTGTTGAGTTAATTTCAGCCTCTATTATGAAACATCACCAAATGGATTGCGGCTTCGCCTATGCCCGAAATATGCCCTTCTCTAGTACTCGATTCCAGTTTAGGAAAATTCATCAAGAACTTCATCTTGTGATAAACGGAAAACTCGTCTCCAGAGTTTTAGACGAGCATATGCGTTAACTCGGACCACTATCTTTTTGTAGCCAAGATGCGGCACTTGCCTTTGGGCAGAAAAAAACGCACGTCWACGAACACATGAAGGAAGKTTCGGCGWCGAGAAGTTGCAATCACAACAGACAACAGTACTGTTTTTCTGCTCGACATGCACTCCTCCTTTCTGAGATCACTCTTCACTATAAGGGAACTGTAGGATTACATGGGAACGATGAGCTGTACGAGTTATACGACGACATCAACATAGTTAATCGAATTAAAAAACAGCGGCTGATAAAGTCTCAGTACCCGCAGGAGAAAGCAGGGGAAGGAGAAGACCAGATGGAGAGCATTTCCTTTAGAAAGACCAGATGGAGATTTACAATTGGCGCCAAACAGCGCAAAGGAAGAACRACTGGCGCGCTGTTGTAAACTTGGCTATAACCGCAAAAGCTTTTCGAATATATTAATAAAAATCACACAATTTGATTA